CCCTTCAACCCAAACCAATCTGTGAATCTGTGATAAAAGGGCTAACACCAAACAGGCCCGATTGTGGGACCGAGGAGCTCTGCTGGGAGCAAAGACAAGGTTTCTGTGCTGAACAGTTGAGCCTGGTGGGTGTGAGCAGGGAGCCCCACCCCAGGGCACCAGCAGCAGATAAGGCCTGGCCGTTGGCTTCATGGGGGTAGGTACTGTCTGCACCAGTCCTGCCTCCATGATAACGAGAGGTGAAAGGTGACTTCCACCTCCTCCCCTCTCCTCCGGAGTCTGGGGTTTGGCTTGTGCTTGTGTTGCTGCTCAGCTAGCAGCAGTGATGAGCTAGAAGCCTCTTTCTGCTCTGCCGCTTGCTGAAGATGAGAGATCGTTTCTTGCTGTGTGACATGAAAACCCACAGCCTGAATAAATGGCAGCGCTGGAAATTAAACTTCCGCGCTCACGGGTGATGGGCACCGTTCTTCCAGTGACGTATTCCTGCACGGTGCTTTTTGGTCTTGAGGCAGCACACTCCCTTTGTAAGTAGAAGGAATTAAGGAGATCCCTAAGCTGCCTGCTGAAATCCTCACCGATGTGTTGGCTACAGATAACACTTCTCATCCCGTCGCTCCAGTCGGAACACCAGACGTTGTTAATGGGAAAGCTGCTGGCGTAAGAGAAGCCAGAGGAGAGCTCTGCATTCTCTGCAGCTCGGCAGCTCTGCCGCGCACGGGGCTGCATGCTGCCCTCTCCCTTCGGTTCCCCTGGCCTTTCCCAATGTGCTGGTGTGTCAGGGAATCCCGCTCTAGGTTTGACAGCACCTGGTGTTTGATTCCTAGCTAGTTTGTAATTCCCTGTGGCACCTGCCTCACACTTGGGTAGGAAAGGGCTCAGGGCTGAAGGTTGGTAAAGGCTCTGGCGGTGAAAGAGCCTTTGGAAGGCAAGAGCCAGATTTATGTCATTTGTTCAGCGCGTCGCTGTCATGGAGGCCCTCATCTGGGTGATCTTTGACCCTTTTTTCCACAGACACGGCTCTCCAGCGCAGTTCCAGCCGTGGTCCCTGCACGCCACAGCCCGAAGCCAGCACGGTGGGGGCTGCGGTGCCCAAGCCCTGGTGTTTGGCAGCTGCAGGGCCAGGCTCGTGCCAGCTCCTGCAGATAAAGCTTGGAGGCTTTATCTGCTTTGGTCAGCCTGCCCTTCCCGCTGGCTGTCGTTTGGTGACCCTTGTGGAGTCACACCCGCCTCTGTGCGCTGATAAGCCCTTCGAGACCCCCCTTCTCTACCTGGCAATCGGAGTAACATGAAGTGGCACATAGCGAGCCTCCCCCATCAGCGGCATCGCTCGCAGAGGCGGCTGGGTGGTTCCAGGCGGCTGTCGGGAAACCACGGCTCCTCCCTCCTGAGCTAGCGGGGCTGGGGACTCAGTCACATGGACACGGTGACGGGAAAATCCCTCGCTGGTGTTGGGATTTCTTAGTGCTGTCATCAAATAGGCTGATGTCTCGCAATGGTGGTTGTGTTCTAAGAAGGCTCATCTTGCTTTTTGATTGTTTTTAATGATAGTGGTTCTTAGTATTTCTTACAAGCTGTTTTTTAGCTGAGGTTCCCTTGTCAGCAGAGTGAAAGCTCCCAGGACGAGGGGGCCACGTTGTTTCTGTAGGTTGGCAGCTCTTCCTCAAGGGGATGTCACTCCAGTAGTTCTGTCTCCAAATGTAACGACAGAATGAATATACAGACATGAAAATCCCTCCTGTGGTGCCTGGGGCAAACCATAACACCATGAGTGTTGTGGGGCGTTTCCAAGTTGGCCATATTCTTCCCCAGTATGGCCTTTCCCAGTTCAGACCCCTGCTGCCAGTGCTCTGGTTGGTCAGACTTGTGGTTTGAATGCCACCTTAAAACGTTAATGAGGTTACTGGCTCCCGGCCCCGACTTATTTGCAGCTGCTCCCAGTGGGGAGCTCCCTTGCCTCACGTGTGGAACTGGGGCTGTCCAAACCTGTTCCCTGAATCCTGTAGAAATGTATGGAGTGGAGACAGCATGGGACATCTGCTGCCTTCAGAAACCTCTTCAACCTTATTTCAGAGCTAGTGACCCGGAAAGCTGGAGAAAGAAACTTGGCTTTTGTTATCGAAAGAACCTCAGTCTTCTGCTTTAAAAAAAAACACCCAAAATAAACTAAAAAACCTGCCCTCCCTCCCCCAACCAAACCATATACCCCCTAACCAAACCATACACCCCCAACCTGAGAGCCAGCACCCAAAAGATTAAAGATGAAAAGGGGTAAAACCTAAAATGCCCCTGGGGAGAGTAATATTGCCTCAAAAATAAAGTGTTAAGGGAATGAGGATTTCTGGGGAAAACAGGGGAAAGGCAGAATGGAAGAGCCTGTGTCCCTTACCCAGTACCACCGGCCTGCGGCCCCAGCAGCGCCCCGGCCCTCGGGGCTTGTGCGCAGACAGACGGGGGGTGGCTCTCTGCGAGGGTGGTGACTGGAGCAGCTGCCTGAGCGATGGTCCCACCTCGGGTTAGCTTTGGTTTTCCCTGCGGTTGGCGGTGGGCCGGGCAGCGGGGAGCAGTGGGATTACATCTGCACAGCATACGGAAGGACGGGTGGAGGAGGTGAGGGAAATGGGGCTGTGCAGGGGTGTAGGAGTGTTCGTTGGGCAGCGCGTGGTGACGCGGGTTTGCCTGCGCATCCTCTCAGCCAGAACTCGCCCGGTAAATCGTCGGAGCCCTGTGCGGCCTGGCAGCCACGCCGCTGCTCCGCCGCCTGGAGCCAGGAATGATGCTTCCTCCAGAAACAAGCGGTGGTGTCAGTCACTTCTAAACTGTAGTAACAGCAAAGCGAGTAACCAGAAACCTCCGTGGGCAAGGAAAGATGTGTTTGTATGACCATGGTCGAGAAAGGCAGCCAGAGATTTACCGGCAGGTTCGTCTCAGCAGTTTGCCTCTCTGGTGGTTTGTCGTGATGCGTTACCGAGGGTTCTCGGGGGTTTCTGCAGTCTCTTCTCCTGTGCCTTGGCAGCGCCTCACAAGTACTACATTGGCTTCCGGTATGTCCATCCTCTGACGGAAGAGGCAATCGAGGAGATGGAGAAGGACGGCATCGAGAGGGCTATCGCCTTCACGCAGTACCCGCAGTACAGCTGCTCCACCACAGGTGAGCTTCCTCGCCAGCTCGACATCTTCTCTATGTGCTGTGACGCTGAATTTGAGGTAAAAACCCTTTAACTAACAATAACAGTTACTGTTCTTGGCTGGGATTAGGGTCCCGTTTTAGGCTCTCTGCTCTGATTTATGGTTGCATTTTAAACGTGTAGCTTCTTAAAATAGTGTAACACCTTGCTGCAGAACCGTGTTTGTCTGGCAGCTGCTAATGCCTTGGCTGTTTGTCCTCTGCATTTCAGGGAGCAGTTTAAATGCCATTTACCGCTACTATAACAACAAAGGGGAGAAGCCAAAGATGAAGTGGAGTATAATTGACCGATGGCCCACACACCCCCTTCTGATTCAGGTACGGATTCGTGTTGCTGTTGGAGTTAGGTGTGAACTGAGCGGCTCTGAGATGTCACCCGAGGGCGTTCCCTGGGGCTTTACCAGACTGGTGGATCTAGGAGAAACTTGGTGTCTTTGCGTTGCCAGCTGACTCTAAAACAACAGAGATTTGGGTAAATACAGATGTTTATTGAGTTTCCCTTTTAGCAGTATTTGCTACCAGGAGAAACACAGTATCAGTTTAAGCAACAGAAGCATTCTGAGGAAACACTTCACTTAGATCAAGTCTCAGCTTCTAACAAAGCTTACAAGATTTTTAGCCATAGAATGTTCAACGAGGAACCTCTTTGCTGATTTAGGCTGTGTTTGTATGTTTTCTTCTTAAAAAACACTTGAGAGAATAAAAGGCAAGGATCGGTCTGAGGGTACCTTGTAGTTGCGGCAGTGAAATGTGTGTTGGCTGCTACGTGTGAAGTTACAGAAGGACAGTTATCTTGTGCGGGATGTTTTGGCGTGATAATGTGGAAAGTGACCACAGAGCATAGTCTTATTGTCATAACGTGTGGCTGGAAGGGACCCTACGGATCATTAGTCCCAGTTCCTGCTCAGACACACGTACAGCTCACGTCTTGGTCAGATTCTCAGCTGGCAGCAAGGTCAATCTAGGACAGCCCCGGCTGTGGCAGGAGCGGTGGAGGGAAACCATGTTCCTTCCCATTCAGAGAAAACGGCGTGTTGCTCTCTGTTGGGGAGCTTCTCCCCTCATTTGGGCTTTGCAGATGGTAAAACCAACGTAAGGAAAGCGATGTGGCACTGCCCCCACTGCATGACGTCCCCTGACGAGCTGCCTTGGAGTGCACCGTTGCTCTTAGGTGCTGTCTGTGCCATCCATGTGTGGTCTCCTTGCTGCAGTGCAGTGCCTCAGCAGAGGTGTTACGGCTCAGCTCCAACGCTGGCGGTGGGAGTGAGGGGTTGGGGGCGTTGCCCTTCTTCTTGGTGTAGTCCCCTGCCCCAGCAGCGGCACAACCCAGGCCAGGGAACCGTCCTTCAGAGACGAGTTGTGCTGAATCCATTGTCTTGTTGCAGTGTTGGTTACCTTCACCATCTTCCAAACCCTGGGGTGCTCGGCGGGGGCCATCGGTGCGCTGGGGCTGGGCACTGTGTGGTACCGTATAGCTGACAGTATGCAGCGCGTGCTGTCCCTTGCTACTGCGCCGCGCAGACCGCAGCAGGAGTTCTGCAGTTCTTACGGAGCCTGGAGCATTGAAGCTGCCCATCTGGGCTCATCTGAGAGCACAGGATGCCTCGGTGTTTCTGATCCAGGTCTTTGCTTTTCCAAACAGTGCTTCACCGACCACATCCAGAAGGAGCTGAACCTGTTCCCACCTGACAAAAGGAAAGATGTCGTCATCCTCTTCTCGGCGCACTCGCTGCCCATGTCTGTGAGTTGCCCCTGCTCCTTTCAGCCGTTGGTAGACCGCAGTCGCGCTGGCTGGGCTGAGCGGGAGGGGGTGCAGTGAATTCTGGTAAAGCAGCTCCACCATGGGCTTTGCCAGGCCAGAACACAGCTTATCCTTCCCCTTTCAGATGAGCCAGGTGCTTGATCCTGGTCGCAGCCACGTCGCGTGCAGCGTGCTTGCCTGCCCCGGTCTAGGTCTTTGCCCAGCCATGTTGGCTGGAAGACAAAGGGGATGTGTGGTGTTTCTGTGTTGAAGGTGGTGAACCGTGGCGATCCATACCCTCAGGAAGTGGGAGCTACTGTGCAGAGAGTCATGGAGAAGCTGAACTACTCCAACCCTTACAGGCTTGTGTGGCAGTCCAAGGTAGGTGGTCGGGGGAGCCATGAAGGCACCTGGTGCTGCAAAGCTCGTCGGGTGGTGGAGTTCGTGTTCTCCCAACTTCAGAAGATCACAACCTCCATGTCTCTGTCCAGTTTTCAATGAGCGTCTCTGCTGGGACAGGATCCTGAGCTTTTACTCAAGTTCAGTCTTTCCAGAC